TGGTTCTCGGTCCAACACATGTGAAACTCAGAGACTTGGGTTTTAGAGACGAACGATGACGAACGCATGGGCTCAAACAGCACTCAATCAGAATGCAAAGCCCAGACACGACCGGTCTGGGACTGGCATATCTTGGGTCTATCCCATTCCCGAGAAGATGGTGTGGCCCCCGAACAGGTGATAGTCTATCAGTCTATCCCATTCCCCATTCCCCGGGCCCAGTGGATGATGATGAGGCCATGGGACAGGCCGACATCCATCTCTAAGCAATTTGCTTGTTGACCGACGACTGATCACAGATCGACAGATCGACAGGGACACACCCAAACAGGGTGCGTTTGTTGACCTGAATTTTTCCATGTACGCAAACAGGTTCGTCCAGTGTCAGATTCGCTCTCGTCTGGGAAAAGCGGATGCTGAACCCGACTGGACGAATGCAAAAAAATCGGTCTTCGCAGTGGATCTGGACGAGGTCTTCTGGTAGGTACGTGGAAGCCTGGTAGGCCCGACACGGAAGAGCCTCCGTGGTGACGTGGAGAATCATGGCACCAGCTGTTTGGCACGTCGGATGTTCTGGTCACTGAGAGTGGGCCATCCACATCCCCACGTAACCACCATCCCATCCACATATCATTTCCAGACAGGAAAAAAACCCTGGGCCCTCCAAACCCCTGGACCTTCTCACCAATCCCTAGGGTTTCCGGACCTTCTCACCAATCCTATAGGGTTTGCAGGGACCAGTCGAGCTTGTTTCCAGCCAACACCGCGTCTGGCCGGTGTCCCGGGCTTCCCCGCGTTGCCATTGCCGCAGTTGCGGCCGGCGGCGTCGAGGGCCGTTGGATCGGCGCATCCGGTGATGGCGTAGAAGCCGGTCACGGTGCCGGCGCCCAGGCCGCTGGTGGTCTTGAAGCCAAAGACCTCCTGCGCGAGAAGGGTGCGAAGCGGTCTGGTCTCGGGTCGGTTCTGGACCAGGGTGTAGACGTTTTTCTCTGAACCAGGGGGTATTTTGGTTTTCCTGGTACAAGGCGCTAAAGCACTGGACCGTTTCTTTCCAGAGGTTTTTCATGTGCTTCTCTGTACAAAGCACCGAAGCACTGGATTATTTGAGGACCTGCAGAACGCAAACAAGCTCTCACGTTGGTCATTTGCTGCTTGCAAAGGCCTGAGTTTGCAGCAAATACGATCTATTCACACAACACTTGTGCCCAAACTCCAACACTTTGAAGACCTACGAGGTTGGAGGCCCAAAAGCTCGACAAAAACCACCTCTCCCGGTCCAACAACTCGATGTTGACCGACACTTCGGCTCGTGCTCTGTCCCGGGGCCCCGGGGTCTTTTCCTATACAACGTCCATACCCCATCACCTCTCCATCTGCCTCTCCTGGATAAGGGTTCGGACCATTTCATTCGCTGCAAAGGAAGCCGCATAGTTGGCGATCCAAATCCCGAGCGGATATGATTCTCCATTGGCATTCTCCTGAGAGGAAATGGGGCTAGTTAGTCGAGCTTGAAGTCGTTCTATCAAGTCACACGTATACAAGACTGTGTTAAGTTATTGAGCTTAGATGCTATAGTTCTCTACAGGATGCTTGCCCTCCTACTAACCTTCACATATACGTATATACTCGTAGAATGTAGAATCTTGATCAATGAACCGTCCAATTTGCAAATCATACTAGTATGGGGCATTGAAATCAAGAGCCTATACACATTGACATGTCTATACGACCCAGGACCAAATCATTGAAAAAAGACACCTGGTCAAACTCGCGAGGGTCGAAATCCGTTCTCCCTTGCTGCCGGCAAGTCGATCCACGTTTTGGAACTTCGAGCCGACATCTTCGGTTGGGGGCTCTGAACAAAACCCAAAACACTCCCATGGGACGGGCATCTTTTGCATACATTGGGCTCGTAGAAAAGGGGTCGTAGGCAACCAGTCCCATGGATGTTGTGTCTGGGAAACGGGTGTGGCCTCCTGCCCACTCTTCACGTTCGACTCCGAAAAAACCATGCCCAGCCCGTCGAAAAGAGACTACCTGGACCCTCCTGTCGGGGTGCCCTGTCTGGAAGCCATCCTAGGTAGTGTGGGGTAGTCCAGCCAGGACACCCCGACAGGAGGGTCCTGGTATAGAACACACAACACACCCTAGTACCGAGGGATCCAAGTACCGAGCTACGACTGGACCCCGCCTACATGTCTCAGTGTCGAACACATCACTGTACCTCGTTCCAGTGAATCCGGACAACACACCGGCACAAACTGCGAACCCCCAAAACGAGCATCCACCAAGGCCAGGAGCCCCGTTCGTAGCTTCTTGTAATCATAGTAAGAATGCTCCGTTCGTAGCGATGCCAGGAGCCCCGTTCGTAGCTTCTTAAGCTTATATAAATATTAGAATGCTCCGTTCGTAGCGATGCCAGGAGCCCCGTTCGTAGCTTCTTAAGCTTATATGAATATTAGAATGCTCCGTTCGTAGCGATGCCAGGAGCCCGATTCGTAGCGTCCTTGCTCCGTTCGTAGTAAGGCCAGGAACCCCTATAGTCAGTAGCTTCTCCCTCTCAGAAAACGCCGTCAGACGAGCCCAAGGTTCCAGGTTCTTCCACTCCGCCTCCGGGATCGCATCGTCCAAGCACGTCTGCGCCGCCACCAATGGCACCAACAAGCCTAGCTAGCTAAGACGACGTAGACCCCGAGGACCGACACGGACAGCGCGGTGATCCGAACGGAGACCCACAGATTTCTGGGAGAAAATCAAGAACAAACTCAGTTGTTCTGACTGACTGGGGGTTAACTGATCGGCCATAGAAATCAAGAACAAACTCAACCCCAAACACTCCATGGGACTGCCAGTCCGGACTGCCGAGAAACGGCCAGGAGTGGTTGACTGACTGGGGGTCTGGCCTGATCGGCAGTCCTATGGCAATCCCATGCAGTGTCTGGGAACTACTACCCAGGACCTTCCTTTCGTCCGGCGGTTTTTGGGACACCTCCTACTTAACCTCTAAGAGGGCTATGGACATAGACACCTCGAACGGAGGGTCCTGGTATAGACTACTTGTTACTAGTGGCGATGGCCACCACTGAACGAAATCCATTGGGAGATCGCCCTATTCAAATTTAAGATTCGATCCCTCGAACCATGACCAGTTCAGTCTGACCACTGAAAAGTGGTGCCTTGTTAAGTATATCATGACATTGTATCACCAACTCCAGTCTTTAACATGAGATCGTTCACTGACCTGTAGGAACGACCGGACCGGACTCTCCGCGCACGGCTTGAGCCCAGCGCGCTTCGCTCCGCTTCGCGAGGTTCGCTCAAAAGGTCCGGACCAACCCGACTGGGTCGGTCCGAAGGTCCGGACGGGTCCGGCCGGCGTTTGGGGAAGTCAGTCTATGCACCCAATACCGTGATCACAACGGTCTGATCCCAAAGTCCTCTGCGTCAAGACAAGGACAAACCGTTGGTTCTGACCTAGGGCTTCTGGCGGTGAAGGTGGGTGCCAGGGGAAGTCTAACCACCGGTCACCTGAGGAGATGGGACGCTCGGAGCCCTTAGGGTGAGACTAGACCGTTCTTCTAGAATAACAACCGAGGCCGTTTCTTCACAATGAAGCATGGTGAAGCCAACTCCACCTGTTGGATTTTTTCATGGGGAAACCTCCCATTCTTCCCCCCCCCAAAGGACGTACATCCTGCAGGTGGTCCAGGAAGTACATGCTGGGTCAATCAGAAAGAGTGCGGTGAGAGATCCTTCCATCTCTTCGGCGTTCCTTTGGAGCGGCGGAATCCCTGAATCCTAACCCAGACACTCCATACCTGGACCCTCCTGTCGGGGTGCCCTGTCTGGAAGCCATCCTAGGTAGTGAGGAGTAGTCCAGCCAGGACACCCCGACAGGAGGGTCCTGGTATATGGCATATTTACCTACATTAAGGTGGTTGAAGTCGGGGTCTGATCGGCAGCATACATGGAGTGTCTGGGTAAGGATCAGATGTCTGGTCCGGTAGGTCATACGACGACGAAAAGAGCCCTGTTCTGCCCAACGGGGAGTTGGACTCCTTCGAGCCATCACCGGTACGGTGCGATCCTCGGGTTCAGTCAGACCGAACCTGAGGCCAAGAGGGTCCAACTTGAAGCCCAACGAGCTTGGTGGGTGCCCACTCGAGTTAACGTTCCATGGTCGGATCAGCAAACTCTGCCAAGTGTCTGATCACAAAGTGTCGCATGCTGCACACAAATGCCTCACTGGTCCAGAATGGGAAGAACTTTTGAAGTTTCCAATCACACATGATTGAACACAAGGAAACAGCTGCTCAGAGATCACCAAAAGCAAACACGTCGTTTCTTGCAGAACCGAGAGGCACAGAGTCTCACGACAGAAATTGTGCTGGGAATCCTCTCCAAGTCAGAGCCAAAACACTGCGAACAGCAGCCGTTAGCAGTTGAGAGATCGCACGCGCGTCGAGGCGCACAGGAGAAGCCCGTGAAAAACACCCAAATAGGCTCCTCAAACAAATCCCTTGAGGTTCTCTCATGGTTCTCCCGTGGTTGCAGTAGATGGACAAAAGTTAATATGCAATCCAGTGAGTCCTTGACTGTAACAAATCCCTTCATGTAGACTCTTGATTAATACCCCCTGTTGAATGCCACTTCCTTGATCTGCATTGCCAGGGTTTGATTGTTCGTATCCATTGGCCCAAAGACTCTGGCGGAGGGATTTTTCGGTGGCCATCAAGGGGTCGACGAATCCTTCGTCCGTCGACGAACACGTGTTGGTCGAATCGATGGGGATTCTTCCCGCAGCCCATGCAGTGTGACCCACCCTGAAAAACCAATTGGCCCATGCCCATGTCGCCAAACGACCTGAACATCAGGACTCACCAAGACTTCCTTCCAGCAATGCAAACTCTGCCTCCCTCACGCGCGAGTAGAGCGTGTAGGCGTGTGCGCTTACGCGTATAGGACACCTCACTGGCACTGGCACTCGCTCACCAAGGGTCTAGCTGCGCCCTTTGTGCCTGGAGCTCCACCAACTTCTCCCGCTCGCACCGCGCGTGGCGCGCGGAGTCGCGCAGGAGGCTCACGTAGGCGGCTTCCTCGTGGCGGCGGTGCTGGTGCACCTGTGCCGCGGGCGCATGGCGCAGCACGTGCGACGGTTGAAGGACACCGTCTATCAGGCCTCAAAACCATGGAACTAGTCGACCCAGTCAACAAGTCCCCTGCCTTTCGTCTCTGAACTGGGTCACATCAACCTTTTTGGGGATCCGAGTCGCACCTCGGGTTCGGTCCGACTGGATCCCTTGAACCAATCGGAGAACCCTTCAGTCGCATCCAACAGCCCGACGAGTCGCGGACGCCAAGTCGGAGAGGTTTCTCTCCGTCCACGTGCTCCTCCGTCCTCCCCGGTCGGGCCTCCTGCACGAGCTCTTCATCGTGTTGGAGCTGGCTCCTCGGTGGCTGGCTGAGATACGTGGCTCTGTAGGAACGGTCGCAAAGGAAGTAGCAACTTGGAGAAGCAGCAGGAGGTACCATCTATTGTGTGTATACGACTTCAAGCATCGTGAATACCAGTTGCTGGTGATATATTTCATGTCGAGACACACATGCCGAATGGTTCGTTGTGCCGGTGGGTAACTTATCTGGTCAAGTCACTTTCAATTGCCAGGTCAAAAAACACGGGTCAAAGCGTTGCCATGGTTCAAAACACTGGTCACGAACCGTCACGAGGGCTATCTAACTCTTCCCGTGACGAGAGGATTTTGAGGAATCTACCGTGGATTTCTCACAAACCTGTGGGCATGTTGTGAATCTACGGAGTAAACACTCACCCAAACGCGACCCTAGACGTCTCGTTCATCAGCCCGACCTTTGTGTCCTAGGCTTGGCTTCGATCCCGAAAGGTGCGAGCTGGTCGAGCCTGCGAAAGGCCCTCAACCGTTCATCAAGCTATCCCATACACTCCATGTATGGAATATATGCCTACATTGACCCCCAAACCACCCCAACTGATCGGCAAATATGGCATACATGGAGCGTATGTAGACTACGAAGCCGCCACTTGGAAGCCAAACCACCCAAATGCTCCGTGAGTTCACAGCCCGGACGCTCGGTCCCTCAGAACCATAGCCCAGACACGACTAATGGGACTGTCATATATGCCGATCAGTTGGGGTGGGTTTGGGAGTCAATGTAGGCATATGGCATCCATGGAGTGTCTGGCTAATAGCCTGGGGTCAGAGTGACCGCAAGTGATTACTGTTGTTGTGCAGGGGTTACACTACTCACTCACATGAAGGCGCATATGGTTTGCTGAGAAGAATGCATTTAGCTGCTAGAGACAAAGGATTGTTCCGTGTTGTTGTCAGAGGGTAAGGGTAGTCCGCTTTTTGATTGCTGAGCAGCTTGATGAGTGGTGGTCCTTTTTTCACTTGGCGGGTCTAGACCAACAACTGGTTGGACAGTCAAATACCAACACCACCCGGAAAATTGTCATCCGGGATTGTAGGGGGCCGTGCCATCCAATTCCGTTGTATATTGTTTCAGAGAGTTTTGCACGGTCATTCAGTCCTTGCCACGCTGAGCTCCTCATGCAACTCCACTTGTTGGGCATTCTCTTCTGCCTGGCGCCGCACTGCACTGCGAGCCCACCTTGGGTGATGCAGGGGTGCAAGCACAACCGCAACCGAAGAATCCGGATGCTCAACTTATGCAGCAGTCTGATGAGCAGTCTCAGCCTCTTGGAAAAGGTTTAAAGGACAAACACCGTTTTCTGTCTCTGTGGTGAAAAGCTACCTGCTTCAGTGCTGCACCCAAAGCTTTTGGACGATGATAGAAAATACAGCACGCTGCAGCCTTCCACAATTCACACTGCCACATCCAGTGGCGCCAAGGAAACAAGTCATCCAAGGCCACAAGTCTTGATCCTTCAAGAAAAAACAAGAACTCTCCATCCAGGACCCACGTACTGAACCTGAGGTTTGGTGATGTGTTCGACACCGTTCTTGCCGCGTGCCAGCCCGTTCTCGTACCCAACGGAGCTTCGGTTCGGTTCGGATTCCCAGCGACGCTTGCGAGTCGGAGCTCAGTTGCGCCGAGCTCTGTTGGAACTGCAGCAGTTGCCTTCGCTGCCCCAGGTGTTCGCTGCGCCGCTGCTGCAGCTCGGCGACCAAGGCTTCGATCTCCTGCAAGAACGAAAAGGATCAGCAGCTTCAACGAGTGGTCTCGCTATGTCTCGCTGGGGGGAGCATTAGGACTGACTCCCGGAGGCTGGGACATGTGAGGAACATGAAAGGTTTAAACAAACTTCCCACCTGGAGACCTGAAGCCCCTGGTAATTAGGTTCACCTCCTCAGTCGTCTGTTCATGTTCAGTGGTTCTGAACCAGGCTCCGCCATCACCTATGGCCATGTTCATGGCCGAGACGAAGAAGGTTACACTCCGACTCACCATGGAAGTGCTGTCGGCCACTCGTTGCACTCGCCGCACTTCCAGACGGATCAGTACGTCCACTTCCATGGATCTGATTCACTCAGAGATACTACATTCGTGGGAATTGATCACGTGGAGGCCATGGAGTTCACCACCAGACCTTGGCTTTTCATGGGGACCATGCCATTCACCAGACCTGGAGTGTATGGTGGTATGGTGGTAGCTGGATCTTTGCTTTGCCCGGCACGCTAGGGTTGTATAAACATTTTTTGTGTGTTTCACTAGGGGAGACCTTGAAGGACAATAGGCCAAACCCCATCGGTTGGGGATCTCCTTGAAAATACCTGATGGTTAACTGACCTGTTTGTACCCAGGAGGCAGGTGATAGAACCATGCTCTACTTGCTGAGATGGTGTTTCATCCTGACCCCCCCAGAAAATCAAGGTGTAGTTATATAAACCTTTTGCACCTGAAATTAGTGGGGTGTCTCCAATACACAAACAAAGGTGACCTGCAGGTTGCGCACTTTTCCTGGATAGGTATATTTTGGGGCGTGTCCAAGTAAGAGTCCGAAAGAAGGAGTCAGCGGTCAACGGCGGATTCGGAAACTAGAGTCGCGGATTCGGAAACTTGAGTGGGAGGGGGTGGACGAAAGGTAGGTCAGTAAGTTCAACATTCAAAGAGGTGAGAGAAGAGATGAGAGGAGAGGAGAGGAGAGGAGAGGAGACGAGAAGCGAAGAGTAGCGAAGAGAAGAGTAGAGAAGAGAAGAGTAGAGAAGAGAAGAGTAGAGAAGAGAAGAGTAGCGAAGAGAAGAGTAGAGAAGAGAAGAGTAGAGAAGAGAAGAGTAGAGGAGAAGAGTAGAGGAGAGAAGAGAGAAGAGAAGAGAAGAGAGAGAAGAGAGAAGAGAAGAGAGAAGAGAGAAGAGAGAAGAGAGAAGAGAGAAGACAGAAGAGAGAAGAGAGGAAAGAGAAGAGAGGAAAGAGAAGAGAAGAGAAAAGAGAAGAGAAAAGAGAAGAGAAAAGAGAAGAGAAGAGAAGGGGATTTGAAGAGCAGCAGCAGCAGCAACAAAGCAGCAGCAGCAAAGCAGCAGCAGCAGCTGAGAAGCTCAATACGAATCCAATCACAGCAAAGCAGCAGCAGCAGTAGCCAAATGACGAGGAGGGAGGAGAAGCTCGATACAAATCCAAGGTATCAGTACAATTGAAGGAAAATTCACCAGTCTCAGGGTGGAGTTGGGGGCCCCCCCCTGTCATACAGAATCGAGTTTCGCGAGCCCAAAGTCATGGCATGTGGGAGGATCCTGCCCTGTAGCTAAAGCTAATTGAACTCAGGTAGATGAAGCTACCTTTCATGACTAGGGTGGCCACGGATTTGGAAACTAGGCACGGCGCGGGATTCGTAAACTAGAACGGCGTATTCGGAAACTAGGATTTGGAAGCTAGAAACGAAATGGTATCCTCGTTGGATACGTGGAAGAGATTCGCCGTGTGTGCAAGCGTCGATCTTCTGGCACGGGGTGTTTTGGCACATGGTGTAGACACGCAAAGGTTGCAGGAAACATGTTCCACCGTCGCTGATCCTTGAGCAGCTCAGAGCACTGCGACACGGCCACACAATCTGGCAGGAAGGCAGTGTACTTGACAGCCGATGGGATTTTGTGCTGAAGGTCGTACATGAACTCCAGCCGCTCTGTTTGGGTGAATTCTCCGGCCAACAACGTCTGGCAAGGCTTGGACCAGGCGAGGTAAGGAACCCAATGGTAGGCGCTGGAGAAGTAGACGACGCACCAAAACCACCAGCGCTGCGTCCAACAAAACTTGGTCCCAACAGCGTTTCAGCAGCTCATGGTGACGTTCCAATGCCAAGAATTTTACAAAGCGGTGAGGATCAAGAGCAATGTCTAAGGCCCAGCTGCCAGCAACATCTGATGGAGAATGAGTTGCCAAGCGCAGCAACTGGTCCAGATCATGAGGATCACAGGAAAAGAACAAGGATAACTCAGCAGGCCAAGCAAGACACGTCTTGTCCACTCAAGCGGAGCAATAATATGTACGAGCGCGACAGGCAACTAGCTAGAGAGAGCCTGCCAATGCTTGAACCAAAGCCTTGCCAGACAGAGAGAGAGGGAGAGACTGGGTCCGTTAATGTGGGAACAAGGTCCGCGTAAACGAGCGCTCGGTATTTGGACAGGGTCAATCTAGCCCACTACGGAATAAACTGGATGCTTTCTGGGGGGTGCGCTGGCTGACAAAAAGGCCAAGAGACCAATGAAACGCTGCTTACGCAGTCAATGGTAAAAATCCAAGGCGCCCCCCCCCAAAAAAGTAACCTTACACATGGAAAGAAGCGACGTATTCAAGCTGAAACCTGTTTGACAGTGCAACGAACGAATGCGGCTGAAGTTTCCAAAGAGTAACTTCTTCAAAAGAAGTGCAGCTCAAAGTTTGAGGACCTGATAGCATCTGTCCTCATCTTCCAAACTGCGTGTGTGATCTCGACATCACACGATAGCGTGTGTGTGTGTGTGTGCCTCTGACATCATCTTTGAAGCACATCCAAACCAATGTCATTAGCCCGCCCTCCAACCCCCTGTCCACATGTTCTAAAGCGCCTCTGTGTGTGTGTCACCCCCTGTAACTAAGGGTTCCACCTCTCCTCCCACTTTCACCCTTTTTGAACAGGGGGATCAGGCTTCCAATGGCTAACCTGATCCAACGAAGCTGGGTCACTGGAAGGGAAGTGGTTGAGGACGCTCAACCATGTACCTGCATCGTGATACAACTCCAATTTTTGCCGCTGTACTTTGCTTTCATGGTCGTTTCACATGATACCTCCCATAAACAGGTTTTCCCACAGCCGCCTTTCAGCCGCCGTCCGCCGCTCGTCCGCTGCTGTCGCGAGTCTGCAGATGTGCACAAACTATTTGTTGAAACACCTTCAAGTGATCGGACTCCTCACCTTACCGTTGAACCATTCCTTTCCTTGGGGAACTGAGTTAACTGAATACAATTGTCAGAGTGTGTTTCGCTCAGCCGTCCCACTAGGGTGCTGAGTGTGATCCCCGTCATTGGGGCGCTGTCTCATCGTGCAAGCACTAACTGACCTCACCACTTTCCACAGGAACTCCACTGGAAGTCACCTCCACATCCACCGAATTAACTGCCACAACGGCCGCCGGGCCTAAACACGGGAACTGACAGTTTTGCAACACTTGCATTTTTGAGATGTTTGACGGCTAAGTATTCACATGTGCATGTGCTGCTAAGTATTCACAGGCCGGACGAATTAATCGTGCGCTTTTTTCCCCTCCCTACCCCTAGGCCTCCTTTGCTACCCCACCCGCTACTCGGGAAACAGAAGGAAATCGCACTCAACACACTCGTGTGTTGGTGCCTTTCCCTCTGTTTCTCCTACCCTATTGCTAGCTACCCGGGCGGTTTAAGACAAATGTCCCGCTCGCGCTCTACTTTCATTTAACTAAGTGGGCCTCGTAACTACCCCTATCTTTCTTTCTTGCCCTCTTAGTCTGCTTTTGTTTTGTTTGCTTTTTCTGTCTTTCTAAGGCTTTTTAGGTGGCTATTAGTTTTTCGCAGCGCCAATATTGGCGCTTTCTGTACAAAGTTCCACCTTCAACGTTCTACACACTTGCGCCGGTATCGGCTGTTTGTGTGTGTCACCCCCTGTAACTAAGGGTTCCACCTCTCCTCCCACTTTCACCCTTTTTGAACAGGGGGATCAGGCTTCCAGTGGCTAACCTGATCCAACGAAGCTGGGTCACTGGAAGGGAAGTGGTTGAGGACGCTCAACCATGTACCTGCATCGTGATACAACTCCAATTTTTGCCGCTGTACTTTGCTTTCATGGTCGTTTCACATGATACCTCCCATAAACAGGTTTTCCCACAGCCGCCTTTCAGCTGCCGTCCGCCGCTCGTCCGCTGCTGTCGCGAGTCTGCAGATGTGCACAAACTATTTGTTGAAACACCTTCAATTGATCGGACTCCTCACCTTACCGTTGAGCCATTCCTTTCCTTGGGGAACTGAGTTAACTGAATACAATTGTCAGAGTGTGTGCGTGATCTCGACATCGCGCGATAGCGTGTTTGCCTCTGACATCATCTTTGAAGCACATCCAAACGATCGTCATTAGCCCCCCCTACAACCCCCCAGTCCTCATCTCCTAAAGCGAGTGTGTGTGTGTTACCCTTGGAGTCACAGGGATTCCTTTGAATTGGTATTTCTTTCCTATTACAGGGGGCTGGAGTCTCCAGCCAACGAAGATGCATCTGTTGCACTGTGAGATAGTTCTGGGATCTTTCCTATTGCAGGGGGCTGGAGTCTTCATCCAACGAAGATGCAGCTGTTGCACTGTATATAGTTCTGGGACGCCCAGAACTACGTACCTGCATTCCTATTTGTGGTGTTTTCAAGCTGTCACACCAATCTTCGACTAAAGGGCTAATGCATTCGGCAGATGTGCGCGGTAGTCACCTTGTCGTTTTGTGATCGACGACTTTACACTTCTGAGGATCCTGGGCATTTCCTTGTAGTTGGACCTCCAGGGTCCTCGGACTTCTTACATGACTTCTCAGGAATATGGGTACCTAGGTTGGCGAGTGGCAAACCGCAATCGAGTCAGTTTCGCATTTCATAAGTGATCTCGACATCGTGCGATAGCGTGTGTGCCTCTGACATCATCTTCGAAGCACATCCACCCCAGTTTCTGAATCGGGACACCCTGTAGTTTTTGAACCAACCAGTTTCGGAATCGGGTGAGTTTCTGAATCGGTACATTCTGTAGTTTCTGAATCGTAGTTTCTGAATCGGAGCTAGCTTCTGACTCGTCTTCTGTTCAGGAGTCAGCTATAGTCGTCAGCTGCAGGGTCCGGCCTATGTCACTTGAAAGCAGCTAGCAAGTTCCACGGATCATCAAAGGGTCACTGCCATATGTTGTTCATAGGGTATCGCTTCACTGAAAGTGGTCTAACATGAGAACCAGCAAGAACCCTACATAAACCTACACAAACCCTACAGGGAACAACAATAATCCTAAGACAAAACAACACTTTGGACACAACCTTTCACTAAAGCTCAGCCCTGGATAG